GGTGGGGAACGAGAGCGCGCGGCTGGCAGCAGGGGACCCGGCGTGTCCGTGGGCTGGAAGTCTCGCAAGTACAAGTACACAGCGGCAGAACGGGGCTCAGCCCTGGGAGAAGCGGTGTTGTGGGGCGGGCAAGAGCGGCTCGTGTCATACCTTTGCTGGGACTAGTCCCCGCTCATGTATTTCTCCTGGCCCTGGCTTTCCAGCAGGGTCTTGGCACACCTGGACTGGACTCGCAGGCATAGGGGATAGAGAACACATTTTCCACCTCTAATGCTCGTGTGTCCAGAGGCGCTGCTGGAAGTTGGAGTTCTGGTACAATCCTCTGCAGGGATTTCCATTATATACAAGGTTCACAGTTCGGTTGAATGTCTCTTAGCACTTCCACCATATAAGTGTAGCCCTTCTGCCGGATAGGCCTGGCAGGAACCAGGGCTGGGTTCAATATCTTGGGGTCAATCTCACAAAGAACCGGCTCGAGCCCCCACCCAGTAATCTGGGAAATTCACGCACCCCTGGGCGCCTCTGAGAGGCAATGCTTCCCCACTCGCAAGCACTGAGTCTGAGTGTAGGAAAAGAACATTTAATGAAACAGAGGAAGAATTCATACGGCATTAGCTTGGGGAAAACACCACAAACAGAGTTCATAACCCAAACATGAGCCCCCACCCCGGCCAAGATTCGCCCGAAGTCCACCGACTCCCCAAAAGTCTCTGTCCCCACAAGTCTCTGTGCCACCCAGAGTCCCAAAGTTCACCCACAGGGTTTCACCTCCCAACCTGGGTAGAAATGGGGGTGGGGAGATAGATAGGGGGCACCTTATACGAAAACTCCGCTACGCTTCACCAGCTGTCTCGTCCCACACCTCTGGACGCTCCGCTGGGCACCTGTCGCCACTTCTCGCCTGCTGCCGCTCCACGCCACGCCCCTGGTCGCCGGTCCTCGCCTGCCGCCGCTCCCTGCCATGCTCAGAGTAAGTGTGCTGCTGGGACCATCTTTATACCCATAGGGGCCCGTATCCTCTTTCTTATCTAAGATGCCAAATTGTGTTGGTCTGTCTTTGTGATGCTAGTTCTTACAAGGGAGTTTCAACTTTATTTTTATTTATATTTATTTGTTTAATCTTGAGGAAAAGAAGGTGAACAGGTGGAAAGGATAATGTAAACGGCATCAATCGGTATAAGGGGCAGAGACAGTAAACCAGTGATTTCAGCTTAGTGATTTCAACTCTCAGCCAAACCAGTGATTTCAGCTCTCAAATGAATCCAGCTTTCACTGGACTAGCAAACAAAAAGACTCCTCAGGGAGTCTGCTTTAGGTCTGTCCTTAAAACAAAGGGGGAAAGGTGCAGGCTGGGCCAGTCTTATAGCTCACACCTGGTAGGTGTGAAGCAGGCTGACTCAAGTCCTTTAACCCTTTCCCCCAGCTCTGTTCTCTCAACTCTGGAAGGGGGGAGGCTTGTTCTTCCGAGACCTCTTGCCATGATGGTGGTGTCTCTCCTGCAAGCACTGGTGGCATGTTTGACAGTTCCCACATTTAGGGGTAGCATGATTAGTGACCCCCACAACAGTCCCAAATTATATACAATTCTCCACATTCCATTCCAACACTGACCCTCCATCAGCCCTGGCTGAATGGGATTTACATAGCCACACCTTGGATTCTCTCCTGAGCAGTATTTACATGTCAACAGTTAACAGTTAACAACCTTGTAGAGCTAAACAACTGTAGTGGGCACACCCACCCCTCCTTTCAGCTGGCTGACAGCAAGCAGCAGTTCAGCCCCTGCTTACATAAGTTTTCGAGCGCCCCTGTATGTGGCATGTCCCACGTTGGCTTTTTGGGTGGTTCCCAGGAGCTGTGTTTGGGCAAGAGTATTAGAGACACAAGGTGGGACAGGGGAGGTAATACAGGTATCTTTGATTGGCTTTCAAGGTACAGAGCCATGAAGAACTTGATGTAGTTTAAAAGTTTCAGGGGGCTAGTTGTGTTAGTCTGTATCTGAAAATTTAAAACACAAGAAATAGTTCTCCTGCAGCACCTTACAGACTACCAAAAATGTAGAAAGTATTATGAGCTTCCCTAGGCACAACCCACTTCAGGTGAAGGGAGGTAAGGGGTCTAGGTACAAATAAATAGCAAAGAAAGAGAGGAGATGGGGAGGGAAAGAAGGGGAAAAATGGGGCAAGTATTGTCAATTAGGGTGTCCACTATTAGCCTCATTTAGTATGGACACTGACAATATTTTTCCCCATTTTCTTTCCCTCCCAATCCCCTTTCTCCGCTATTTATTTGTACCCTGGACCCCTTAACTCTGCTCACCTGAAGAAGTGTGTTGGACCCACAAACGCTTGTGGTACTATCTACATTTTTTTTATTAGTCACTAAGCTGCTACGGGACTCTGTTGTTTTTTAAATTTTTGATGTGGTTTCAAAGCTTGTGTCTTCCACCAACTGGTTAGTCAGTAAAAGATCTTACCTTGCCCACCTTTTCATTCTAACAGCTGTACCATGATAAACGTGCTTTGTGAGTGACATCTTTCTGAGTGCTCCATTTGGAAACATTCTGTCACATGAAAGCTTCTTATAAGTTCCTATTTATTTTTGGTTAACACCTTAGGCAATCATGTGCCCATCCAGAATTCGCCTCTGTACAGGCAGACTCTTACACACACACACTTTGAAGGGAATGAGGCTCTGCAGAGTCCTGTTTGGCGATACTTTGGAGAAGCTGATTCAGTCATGGAAGGTTGTTGCCTCTGAACCTGGGACTTTAGGATGGAATAGTGACTCCGTGGATGCCCCAAGGCTGGAACACCCATGGAGAAGAAAAAGGAGTACTCAGCACCCACAGGTGGGTCCTCCCAAGCAGTTCCTCCCTTTAGCACAGGGGTAGCAAATACTAGCCAGCAGACTGGATCTGGTCTTCCAGGTATTGCTCCTGGTAGGCCCTCACCACTATATTTACCTGTGCCTCCTCAGGTACAGGCAATCACAGCTCCCGTTGGCCATGGATTGTCGTTCCTGGCTAATGGGAGCTGCAGAAGTGATATCCCGATCTGTGCCGCTTCCTGCCTCTGCCATTGGCCAGCAATGGTGATCTGCAGCCAGTGGGAGCTGTGATCACTAGTATCTGCAGAGATTGAGGTAAATATAGTGGCAGAGGCCTGCCAGGGCCTACCCCTCGTGAATTACCACCACTTTATTGTTCATCACTGCCTTAGCTCCTCCCACCTGCCAGTGGACCCTGCCAATCAATTCTTTGGGAAGAATGTAGGGAACCAAGAGCCAGCAGAGGAAGGAGGGAAGGGTTGAGTTACTCACAGACTCAGACCCACCAAACAACCCCTGAAGTCCTCCTGATAGGTAGAACTTTGTGCCTCTTCCCCCACCCCTCCCCAAGGAGCTGTAACTAGGTAGGTTTGGGAGGAAGGGAGAGGTATATGGTTGGAGGTTGATTTGGTGTGTAGTTGTGGGTATGGGAAGTTTGGGCTGGAGAGGAAATGTGCTTGCTGGCTCACATCTCTCTGCCAGCCATGTGGTGCTGGCCTGGTAGGTGCCCTCTCTGCAGGGTTGCCTGTTGGTTTGATAAAAGCAACAAGGAGTCCTGTGGCATCTTATAGACTAACAGATGTATTGGAGCATAAGCTTTCGTGGACAAAGACCCACTTTGTCAGATGCATGTAGGTTTGATCTGTTGGTTTGATGTGTACTGGGGGATTGGGTTGAGGACAGGGACACTTTTTTAAAAAATTTGTACACAGACAGCAAACACCACTTTTGAAATATGGCTTGTTTGGGGCTTATTTTGGGGAGGGGGGAGGAGAGAGTGCCACCCAAAAAGAGAATTGGCTTGTTTGGCACTTGTCACCAGGCATTTCAGAGCAAAAAAATGGACAGGGTTCATTTGGGGTTCATTTTAAAATGGCATTGACCTGAATTTTGGGGGCTTATTTCTCCTGAATGTTGACAGCTGTGATTCTTTCCCCTCCCTCATATCATCTCCCACCTGCTGTGGATCAGCTGTTCAATAGTGGGCAGGAGATGCTGGGAGGTGGTGGCGTGAGAGGAGGGTATGTTGGGGGTGGAGATGGAACAAAGCAGAGTGGGGGCAGAAAGGGCTGGGCCTTGGGGAAGGGGTGCAATAGGAGTTGAGCTCCTCCAGAGAAATGAGAAAATCTGTGCCTACGGAGGGGTGGATGAAGCCACAGTTCCCTAATGGTTGTACAGGCTGGGCATTGCTAACTCTTCAACCCAGTTCTTACAAAAATTCACATCTTTAAGCACTGTAGTTGGAATCTACAAAGAGTCTTATGTTGCAAAGCTGAGTGTTACAGGGCATAATTTGTAGGTGGGAATAACACTGCAATCCACAAAACCCTATACAATGAAATGGAAAGAAGAGTGACGAAGAATGCAATCAAGTAAAGCCAGCACACTAGCAGGGACCCATCCATGCTAGCCCATGGGAGACACCAAACAGGGGTTTGGGCTAAGTGCTCCTTATGTCATGGGGACAAAAGTCCGAACTCCAGGGAGATACCTATCTTGGCTTAGCAATTCATGAACAGGCACCTACCACCTAAAGTTGGATAGCTTAGGCACTTTCAACACTTCCTGTCCACTGGTTCCCTAGAGAAACCTTTGTGGAGCAGTAGGCATTGTCCAAGGTTCTCTGCTCTATGTCCCCTTCCAGATCATGTTCCTGTGACTCTGACTTATTTTTTCCATTGTGTCCCTGTAATTATTTGAATCCCAGTTCAGTAGCTTAGGCTGAGGGAGGAGGCGGGCTTCAAACATGGGCAGGCTTGTGCCCATTCACTTCCCACACTTCAATAGGCACAGCATTTCTTATAGGAATGAAAAAAAACTTTAAAATAGTTCTGCAGCACCCTAGAGACTAACAAAAAATGTAGATGGTATCATGAACTTTTGTGGGTACAACCCACTTCTTCAGATGAATGGAGTTTAAGGGGTCCAGGTTCCAGATAAATGGGATGGGGAGGGAAAGGAAAGGAGAAAAAATGGGGAAAAATAATCAGTTTCCATGCTAAATGAAGCTGATTGAGAG